CGACGCACGGACCTGACGGTGCTGGTGGCTCACAACGACGATCCCACCGACCAGATGTTCGTCTTCTTCCCGGGTGAGCAGAGCCCGCTCTGGCGCCGGGGGTGGCCGCGGTTCCCTGGGCTGCGGTGCCTGCCTGGCACGGGCGGAAGGGCTGGCTTTGCTGTCTGGAGGGGCTGCATGGTGAGGGAGGGCTCTCTGTAACCCTGACTCCCTTCCCAGAGGAGCCCAAGGTCGGAATAAAGACGATCAAGATGTACTGCCAGAGGATGCAGGAGGAGAACATCACCAGAGCGCTGATCGTGGTACAGCAAGGCATGACCCCGTCGGCAAAGCAGGTACAAAGTACCGTAAAAGGAGTCAGAGTTATTGTGGACTGTGGATGTCTTGCTTCCCTGTTTTGCAGTGCCACTTTAGGTTAATAAAAGCCTAGAATTTCCTTCTAGATAAAGTCCTTCACTGAAGCCTCTTGTACCTTGACACAGGCTCTTGCTTAACGTGCAAGTGTACTTAACCAGAACAACTGGTTCTGGTTCCAGAAGAACAGTTGATGGCCCGTCAGGAGGTTGGCAAGAGAAAAGAGGATATTTGCAGTGGTCAAGAGATCTGTGTGCTCTTTGCCTGCGTAGCTGTATCTGTGTGAGCACAGGCGTGGTGGTTCCACGTTTGCAGCGACTGGTGTTTATCGAGGAGCAGATCTGAGCACAGGCAGGGTTGTCCCAGCGCGGTGCTGCAGCCTGACAGACCTTTCCCTTCTCAGTCCCTGGTAGATATGGCTCCCAAATACATCCTGGAGCAGTTCCTGCAGCAAGAGCTTCTGATCAACATCACAGAGCACGAGGTGAGCAGCGTCGGGCAGCGGAGTGAGGGCGGGACGATCTCTCTTGTGCCGAGCTGTGGCTCGGGCTGCTCCCAGAGACCTTCTCTGGGTTGGAAGGCTGGGCTGAGTGACGCAGTCCTGGTTCTCTTCCTTACAAACGTGTTGCTTCTCCCGCCGCTGTGAGGAGCCAGTCGCTTTCTCTGGCTTTCTTCTAATCTTACCGTCTCTCTCCCATGTTGTTTACAGTTGGTCCCGGAGCACGTTGTCATGACAAAGGAAGAAGTAACTGAGCTACTGGCCAGATAGTATCCTTTGTTTGTTCTTTCCTTTCCTGCCTGGGTGTGATGCATACTTGCTTTGGGCTGAAAATGAATACATCCGCGTGCAATGGTTTATTACTTTGTTCCGTTAGCTATGCTAACGAACGGGCGCCTGGGCCAGCTGCATGTTCTGCTGGGGGAGCTTCTCCTTGACTCCCTGTGCAGTAAGCTGAGGGAGAACCAGCTCCCGAGGATACAGGCTGGGGATCCTGTGGCCCGGTACTTCGGAATAAAGCGTGGTCAGGTAAGAGAGAAGTAG